CCACGTAGGCTATACATGAACTTCCACGTCAAATTTTCAATTACACAAATCTCGGAAATCGGTGCCCCATTTTACCTGAAATTGCTACTTCATGTATGCTGCAATGGATCAAACGTGAAGTAACAGTTTGAATGTTACACGTGTCGTAGAAGCTGATATTTGTGCACTTAAAGTTTTGAAGTGGTTCCGAGAATAAGGATGTCACAGCGATTCACCTTAAGCAACCACAAATTCGGAACTCTATTTAAAATATGAAATGAACAACCATCCTCAAACTATCACCGAGTAATTAAGTTGTTTGAATCTAGCAAAGTTAGTCATACTCATTGATAAATTTGTGTGATTAAGAAATATTTCCCTGAATTTGAATGAAATTCCCTGAGATTCCCTCTAAAGAAGCCTTAGAGTGAAACTTCAAAAGCACAAATGTCAGCTTCCACAAAACATACAAATTTGAAATTGCTACTCTCTGTTTGTAGTAGTACAGCAAACAAGGAGTAGCAATTTCAAATTTGTATATTCTGTGTAAGTTGACATTTGTGCCTTTAAAGTTTCACGCTAAGGCTTCCTTAGGGTATCACCTTAAATTAACGAATTGACAATCGGACAGCTATGAAAAACAGCGCAGTTTCGGGGTGATTTCAAAAAAGTGCCGGTGGAATTTCAAGAAAGTTTTTGCAGAATTTCAGGAACGATCTGACAGAATTACAGGAAAATTCCCGGTGGCATTTCAGGAAAGTTCCGGTGGAATTTCAGAAAAGTTTCTGTGGAGTTTCTAGAAAGCTCTGGTGGAATTTCAAGAAAAATTCCAGCGGAATTTCAAAAAAATTCCAGTGGAATTTCAAGAAAGTTCTGGAAAAAATCTGGTGGAATTGCAGGAAACTTCCGGCAGAGTTTTAGACAAGTTGAGGCGGAAATTTTGGAAAGTTCTTGTGGAATTTCAGGAAAGTTCTGGCGGAATTTCAGGAACGATCTGGCGGAATTTTAAAAAAGATCCGCTGGAATGTCAGATAAGTTCCGGTGGAATTTCAGGAAAGTTGTAGCTTAATTCAGGAAAGTTGCGGAATTTCAGGATAGTTCCGGAAGAATGCCAGGAAAGTGTCGGTGGCATTTCAGAAAAGATCCGAATTTTAGGAAAGTTGCGCCGGAAATTCACGAAAGGTCCAGTGTAATGTCAGGAAAGTTCCAACGAAACTTCAGGAAAGTTCCGATAGAATTTCAGGAAAGCTCCGGCAGAGTTTCAGACCAGTTGAGGCGGAAATTCTGGAAAGTTCCTGGGTAATTTCAAGAAAATTTTGGCGGAATTTCAGGAAAGTTCTAGCAGAATTTCAGGAAAGATCTGGTGGAATTTCAAGAAAGTTCTGGTGGAATTACAGGAAAATTCCGGTGGAGTTTCAGAAAAGTTTCAGCGGAATTTCAAGAAATGTGGGTTGATCTCGTTGGCCGTGTACAGCGAGCTTTTCCACCTTTCTGCACACGTTAATTCTAAACATCCAAAATTCAGTAAGATCTACTCATTTTCATTAGAAGTAGGGCTACCCAATATTGAGCAAACAAGATTGTAACTGACAAGATAACAAATTAACATTCAGATTCAGGAGTTCATTCGACATCTTGTTAGTCCCAACTTTGTTTACTCGAGTTTGGTGGATATGAGTAGATCCTACTCAAATTTGGGTTGTTTAGAAATAGCGTGCATCCTGCGCTGTTTTGCCTAAAAAGGTCTTTGACGTTTAATTGTCTTTCTCTATCTAGCACACATGGAGAACGGACGGTTTGTTTTCCCACTAATTTGTTTCCCTCTTACTCGCGCTCATTCGATTTAAATGGTGCAATAGTGTACGCCGATTAAACATCAAAAAGCTCTATACATCTTAAGCGGACGTTACACATGCCAATATATTCACAAGGAGGATAGTGTAACTGGCGCTTTAAATCTTGGTATACATCACCCAGATGTCAAATAAGAGACGCGCGAAGACTGAAGCCAAAAGTTCCAATCGAACCGTCAAACGCGGTTCCAATCGAGCAATGTAAATAAACACGACCGCTTTACAAAGAAAAGCATGGGAAGTATTGATACTGGGGTTGAATTAATTGTTGAGGTTAACTTTTGAGATTTAAATAAGTATAATTAAGTTTACGTATGAAAAGTGAAATTGGTCAGGGAATATTATTGTTATTCACCACCTGTATTCTAGTTATGTTTTCACGAAATATTTGCTCCAGTGCAACGAAATACATCTACACAGGCTCTGTAACAAAGATCAAGGCGTTTCCGGTGTAATTTTTCAATATAGTAAAATTTGAGAACGACTTCAAAAGAGTGATTTCACTCACACATGATAGGAAGCAACAATCGCAAATTGAATAATTTTGTGCAACGCTCTGTAGAATATACCCTCCAATGTGGTATATTTGGTTTCACTCAGAGTTGTCAAAAATTGAGTCTTCAAATACTTCCATTGAATAGCGATACTACCGATACGGTTAAAAAAGTATTCATTTTACCGTGATGTTGAAAACAGACGACAGTCGCTCCAATTAAAAGTCACTTGAAGTAAACACAAAATTGCGGGTTGCCAAATCTTGCAGAAAAAGAAATTAGTTGGCCGTGCAACCAGATATACTTTTATTCTCTCCACACGTCTTTTATACAACATCGTCTCTGACATCATCCTCATTTTTAAAAATCGCTATTAGAACTGGTACATCGTGAAACAAATCTGGAAACTCTGATCGAACAATCCTGTTGGCAGTGATGCCACATTTTTTCGAATATAATTCTGTATTCTAGCGTAACATTTGAAAAGAGCCTATCCACGTTGATCGATTCTCTTCATCGACTTTGTCTTTGATTTACCACGGCAACAGAAAAACGAATTTCTCGCTAAGCTCACAGGACAGTTCGACAGAAGATGATGTTAGCTGTATAGTCGCTATATTCATAGCCTGGCGGAGAGAATCACGGGAACCAATTGAGCTGTCAAATAGCTGTTTGACTAATTGAGCTGTCAAATCACGACCGACAACAGAAAAGAGCACAACATGCTATTGCGAACAAAACTTCCGGAACCCGTTTTCTCGTGACTTAAGCCAACACCATCTTTGAGCTGGGGAAAATTTCCCCTATCCGATGATGCTGGTAATTTGCGTTCGGTTGGTGAGGAAAGAATAATCATGGTTTTTTTTTTCCTAAAACTTGATAGTACCATTTCAATTGTTGGTCTACAATATATTGAATTGGTTCCGCTTTTTGATAGATCGTTATTCTATCCGCCAGACTATAAATATAGCGACCTAATCAAAAAGTGGTCTTCATGAAAGTTGTAACTGATACAATTTTACATAAGGCTAGGACGTTGAAAACCCATAGTAATTCCCATATAAACTACAGTGGTCAGTGAAGTATGGGTTCGCATCCAAATGAGCTCAAATTATGGGAGAATTATTAGGACTTGAATTAGCATCAACTGAGCCTGGTAGAGTTCGATATTTTGAACCACCCTAATGTACTGTACCACAGTACACGCACGCTAGAGTTGTACTTCTCGAGTGGTAATTTGTTGGCGGCCAAGAAGGCAGTCATGGGATGCAAATAATGTATTAATTTCAGAGAATTTATATTAAGAACGGCACGTTGTCGTCGTCGTCGTCACGAGGGAACCTACCTGCTTTGACAGTGCCAATTTTTGCGCTCTCTGCATGAATTGAGATTTAACGGAAAGCTTACCGTGCCCGAAAAAAAAAAAACGTTTGGTATTTTTCAAAAATATCGAAAATCTAGGAAAATCAGTTTTTTCTCCTATTCTAAATACGTGTAAATTTTCTCAAGAACATTAAAAAAAACCGATTAGATTGTTTTATATCTTTCCCAATATTTTTAAGATAGCTCAAAACGCGACAAATTTTTACTTTCCGTGGTACGCTTCCCGTTAATTTCAGTTATATTAGGCGAAATTTGTTGGCATTCGCGTAACCGCTCGCTAGCCGGTGAAAGATTGGAGATGTGAAAAAATTTTCGGATGACATTCTGTACTACAACCATTAGCAGTAGGAGCTTGTAAATCATAGGGCTTAACAATGTTAGTCGTAAAAATTATCTCAATAAATATGACAGGGTAGAGTTAGCGGAAAAATGCACACACACACACGTCACGCTTGGGCAAATTAAAAATTCGGGTTATTTATGAAACTGAGAAGAGATTTTCCGCCAATTGTCTCTGGCTTATGCGTATGTAGGCTATGAAGCTGCTAAATTGGCGCGGGTTTTTTTTATTGGTTTTGGTTTTTGGTGAGTGAGCGGGATGCCAAATAAAAACATATACTTTTCCTCCTTGATGGGTTTAGGGGGGCTGGGTAGAGGAAAGGATTGAGGGATTCAGAAGCGCAGGTGTGAATTTGCTTCTACATTACTTTGTGTCTATCGTAGTAGTCTAAACGGCAAAATATTCAAACGGGTCGAAAGCAAACTTTCATGCAAGCTAAGTAGGCTGCTCGAATTAGTGTTTTTTGTTTATCAAATCTGCTTGAAATTTGTACACAGTATTACTTAGAGGGTATGGCAGCTGTTAGATCATATTTCCTACGCTCGCGCAAAAAAAAGCCAAACATATTGTAGAATCAACTTGACTGAAATGAAAATAAAGGAAATGTATATGTTTTTGTTTGTTTTCTTTATTGGCCTACATTTTCGCACTTTTCTCAACACCGCCACCAAGGACTTATTTTAGGACTAGCTCTTCTGTTTCTGTTTCATAAATAACACGAATGAACACCTAAGCCTAAGTTTGATGATTTTTTTTTAGCCTAAAACTATGAATCAACACCACCACCATCACCACCACCACAACCAGCAGCGGGATCGTCGACTCAAACAACTGATGACTAGAAGGAGAACCAGACTAACACAAACGAACGAACACAGACTGAACTCGAACAGAACAGAGGCAGGGGCATAACAATGTAGAGGAAGGAGCAAGAAATAACGTTTAGTCTACCTTGATGGTGAAGGTGCCGTTGGGGATGTGCTGGCCGCCGAATTTGATGTCCAGATCGTAGTCGCCCGGGTCCTTCAGGGTGTAGAAGATATCGAAGAAGCCATCCTTCTCGATCACCTCCAGGTCGACGTCGCTGTGCGGGAGAAGAAAATTTGAAATATAGGTTAAAAGTTGGTTTGAATTTGGTGAAATGCTGTTCCGTATCACATTCAATATTGCAATAAGTAAACGCACGATCAGCTTAAAACAGCTTCGTGAAAGATACAAATCCAACAACAACACGTGTTCTTATAGAAGCATCATTTCATGGATCAAGTCCAAATGTGAAATAGCATAGCTCATCAATAATTGTTGTCTTTCGCGTTGAATCATAACTGTCGTGCCAAATAGCTTTCTATAGTAATTAACGAAAACTCATGATGTCGTACAACTTTGTATCGACTATATAAACCCTACGATTGATTGATTAATCAGTTTTGTTCAAGCATACTCACCTTTTCACCAGGGATAGGGAATAGCACAGAGAACAGACGAGAAAACCCATACATCTGTGTTTTTGCACGTCAAAAATAAAGAGATGTGCAATGAGCTTGTGCTAATGAAAAATGTGCGCTCATCAGAATGTGCATATTTTCAAAAACATAACAATTTTTAAAGATTGAGTGAACTAAAATATTGCTCCAATGTTGCTTATGGATTTTGGAACTGTTTATAATGGAATGAGTTTATCTTGTGCTAATTTTGCGCTCTCTTTGTGCTTTTTTGTGTGCTCCTACCCACATTGCACGTCTCTCAAATTTGTGCATGCTCTCTTTGGTCTCTTGCTCTCAAAGAGAAATCAAGTACAGGCGACTAATCAATGAGCTGGATTACCGAGGTGAAGCAATCACTCACACAACCACTGTACGATACACGCAAGTACACGCAAGTAGTGACGTCACTACTTGCGTTTACGTTGATTTTTTGGTTTACTAATACAATCCTATTTCACGATCTGCGTCACCTCTCTCTGTACCTCATTGGCGACTAATAGGGCACAGCACAACCTTTTTTGTGCTTCCTGCGCGCGTGCTTCCAGACGATCCCTGCTTTTCACTTTTGCTACTCGAGTTCTTGACGAGGTTCAACCATAGAGGTAACTCTAAGACTAGAAGGTCCCGAAACTTTTTGAGATTGCCAAACAAATTAAGTAGAGAAATCTAAGGAATTTATGAGGAGAAATGAAAATTAATTTTTAGGAGGCTTACAATGTGAGTAGAATTCCAAGGGAAGAGATTAAAAAAGAAATATGAAATAAATTCAATTAGATTTCTGAGAATCTTTCCATATGATTTCTTACTGAGGAGAATTTCAAGGCAATTCCTAGGAAAATTAAAAGAAAATTGGATTCGGATGATAGTTGCGAGAAGTATTCTAACAATATTCTTGTGATATTTTTTTTAGAGAATTCAGAGAAGCGTTCCAAGTGAATTTCTGAAATAATTCCAAAACAGTTTCGGGAGAATACGAGCAAATGATGAGGAGAACTCCAAGCGAATTTTCATGACAAATCTTCGTTGAATGTGTAATGGTCTATTCTGAGGTCTTCAGAACAATTTGAAAGTTCCCAAAATATTCCTTAAGTTAATGAAACTGCCTTGAAGTTCTTTTGTAGTTTGAGAAACTAGCCTGATGCTCACAATACTTCTCATCATTGTTTTCTACAATTTTCCTAACGATCATGAATTTTCTCTAAGGTTTTAACAATCCACTGAATTTCTCGAAACTTTTTTAAAATTTATGTAATTTCGCTGCTCTGGAATATCTCTCTCTCTCTCTCTGAGGATATCTGTTCTTTCTTGAAGTTTTTTTTAGTAACACTTCTCTAAAGTGTTTGCATCTCTCATTAAGCTTGTTGTACTACCCTGAATTTAGTTGAACTGTTCTAAAAATGCTTCCGTAATAATTTTCTTAACATCTCTAAAGTTCTCTGAAAATCTGGGAAACTAATGGAACTGAATTTCCCTGAAATTCCCCTTGTTTTTGGAGCTTTACTAAACTTATTTGAAATGCTCCCGAAATGATCAAATAAGTTCCTGAAGTTCTCGGATCTTCCCTTAAGTTCCATAGATTTTTACGAAGTTCTCGAAATGTTTCTGAAGATCTCTGTACTTCTGAGAAGTTTTTGAAGTTATTTTGAAATTTCAGGAACTTCTTTAGGCTCCCGCAACGAAATTCAACGCTGATTTTCACTGAAGTTCTCAAGATTTGTCAATTTTTGAAACTAATTCATAGCTTCTTCAATAGTCTAGAGTTTCCTGATGATTTTAAAACTGCCCAAAATATTTCTCAATTTCCTTAAAATTCTCTAGAGTACCCTGAATATCTTGGTATTTTTTTTAAAGAACCCACAATTTTACTGGAATTGACTGGAATTGATGGAATTGCCTTTAAGTTCTACAATTTTCTTCAGGTTTTATAAAGTTTATATACGCTCACGGAACTTTGCCTTAAATCACTTATTTTCCCTGAAAAGTCCAGTCCTGAAGTTTTCTATGCTTACCTTAATTTCTCTAAATTGAAAGTTTTCAGATCAATCATAGAATTCTCGGAATATCCCTTAATTCCGAGGAACTCCTTGTAAGTCGCTGCATATTTCCTTAAGTTAATGGGATTTTTGTGATGTTATCTGATCGTCCTCGAAGTACTAGGAACATCTAAACATCGAAACAATCTAAAAATATCTAAATTTCTTAGAAGTTCGCTGGAATTTTTTGAAAACATCGGTGCTTGCTAAAAGTTCTCGCATTTCTGCCGAAGGATTACGTCTTTTGGCAACATACTGGGGGTACAATTAAAAAAAAACTTGAATCGACCGCGTTACGAAAAGTGGTCAGGATTTGACCACTTATAACTCTGTCAATAGCGGATGGATTTTTGTTCTAAGCAATGTTTCTACAACATTTCAAAAGTGAACACTTTTTCCAACTGTTGCAATCGTTATTAAAATTATCAGCGATTGTCTGCAAAAAGCGCTTTCCCTAACACAGATGGCAAAATCGAATTCCATTCGGTCCCGCCGAACGGTGCTTATTCAATCACCGTGTGTGGTGGTATCCGGTCGGTCGTCATCATCATCAGCAGCAGCAGCAGTGCTTTCGGCGTGTGGCGTTGAACATTGTTCTCCAGTACACAACGAAAGGCTGCCCGCAAACAGCTAGCAGCATCAAGGTTGCCCTCAAGAGCCCTCGATTCACCGAAGAAGAAGGAAGAAACCACACCGCTACTGATCGGATTCAGTTGCTCGTCGTAAGCCTTGCCATCTATGGCAAGCGCGTCACCCTCGTTCCAAACAACATACAACTCGCTAGCCTCATCCGTGTTGAACACCGTAATAGCTCAGCATTACTCAACCATCACGACAAAACGGTCCTTTTCAGGACCACCATACACTGTTGTTGCTTAAGAGTTAATTTTAACTGAACGTTCGCTTGCCTTACTGCCAGCCACATCACCCCCAAAGCTCTTTGATTATGTACCCAGCAACCAAACGTTTGTGGTCAAATGCGTAACAGTATTTAAGTGGTGCATACAAATTCTCCCAATGGCCGAATACCACATGATCTTGTCAATTAACCAGAAACACTTCGAATTAAGGTAAGGTTTTCTCCAGGATGCTAGAAAAAGCAAAAAAAAAAATGGAATTTATATGATCGAATATCTCGTGATTGGAAAATTTTAGCAAAAAATGAACGAAAACGCGTAGTTTTATCATCAGAAAATGAGGCATTTCTGTGATGGGAAAAAGTGGTTTCCCTAACACAGTCGCCGAATATTGATATCGAGCTACAATCCTACGCCAAATCTACGGCCGTGTCTTGGATACAGCCTCTTACCTTTTTTAAATCAATGGAACTTCGTTGATGTTCTCAAATCAACTCAGGCATAACATTTGATAACGGCACAAAAGCTCCAAAGTTCCAAAGTAATCAACATTCTAAGGCCCTTTACACGCGAACCAAAGTACGCACACGCAAAACAATAACATCATCGGATAAGGGCAACTATCAACTTTCCGAAAGTGGTACTGGTTTGCGTGGGCGAACTTTGGTTCGCGTGTAAAGGGCATTAGAAAGTTTGTTTACAAATGCTTTTGTGTCGTTATCAAATGTTATGCCTGAACTTCGCTTAGTTATCGAATTATTTTAGATCTCGAAATTTCCATGATATAGTACCCTTGAAATACTCTCACTTTTTCCGGATGTTCATTTATTTTTTTTTTGCGTTCCAGAAAATTTATCTGAGCAAACGGAAGTTTCCGGAAATTCCCGGAAATTTTCTTTAAACTTTAAACTTTAAGGTTTCTGCAATTTCCTTGACATTTTATAATTGCCCTTTAACTCTATGATTTGTCTTGATGTTAAAGTTAATGTTAAATTCTAATGAAGATCTCGGTCTGCTTTAAAATTAATGGAATTTTCCTGAACACCTTTCTTAGAATTCTCTGGATTTATGTGAAGTTCTTGAAATATTTCATAAATTTTCTCAAGGTCTCTTTACTGAATCTCTCGGAACATCATCTTAAGGGTTCTCGATTTTATTTCAGCACATCATGGAACTATCCTGAATTTGTCTAAACGCACGCTTATAGATTTTTAAACCAATCCAATATTCTGGGTCAAAATTTCGGGGACTTCCACTTAAGATCTCTGGAATCCCCCAAAGATCTCTAGATCTAGTTTTTCTGATATAAATAGAACTTATTAAAAGTTTCCACAATTTTGCTAGAACGAAACATCAAGACATTAAAAATGTTGTGATCGTAGACTTATTAAAATGAAGTGAAGCTGTTTCTTTAAAACTGATTGTCATGTCTTAAAACGTATGCGTTAATTGTTGTTGTTGATGTTTAAAAAATCATATTTTCAACGCATTTCATAAATGGCTTTCTTATTACAAACCTGGAAGAAATCCGCCAAAGTTATGGAAAAACCTGGAAAACTCAGGGAACTTTCTTTAGCCAAATGAGTGGCCATTCTATAGATAGAGAAAGACGATTAAACGTAAAAAAACCTCCATACAAGGTCATCAACAGGCAGGTACAATAGCGTCTTTTAAAGTTGCTTGGGACTAGAATTCTTGCTCAATGTGTAA